TTCACTGTGGTGAAATCCTTTTGACCACCCAGCAAGCCATGCTACCATGGGGCTGTCAGAGCAACCCAGAAGGAAAAGCGCTCTGTAGACTGGCAGCAGATTGCTCCTCTAAGCAGGCTGCAGCACACAGTATCACATCAAATCCTCAGGGCAGTCCTGGTGTCCCAGATTCTGTAGTGTTATCACTGTCCTCCTTTGTCTACTAAGGAGAAATTCAGTGCTTCCAAAACCTGCTAAAACCCAGGACATTGTCTGAGAAGAGAGAAATGTAAATTGAGCAAACAAAACTGGGCTTGACTCCCTTGCAGAGCACCTCCCCCATGCAACTGCCTTCCCACATGCTATCCTTGATTAGCAGCTTTGAAAGCAAGATCAGAACCAGGTGTGTTAGCCAGTTCTTGCTGAGCAGGGGTTACTAGCAATGAGGAAACTAGAAAACCTCCAGAAATCAGAGCTGTAAACTCCTAGAAAGTCACTAAAATAGTCAAAGGACTCAGTTGCCCAAAGGGGCTGCAGGAGCACCCCCCACTGCCTACTTTTTAAAACCATCAAGGTGAAGTTAAAAGCCTGGGTCGTTCCAGGTAGTCTCCTTGATTTCTTCACCCCCCTGCTCTCTTTTTGCAAGGCTGCTTTCCACCAGTGTTCCTATCAGAGTTTGACATAATTCATAAGGACCTGAACAGAAAAGCATCTACAATACTGGGTGGTTTAAGGTATTGCTCATCACCAGGCAGCAGCACACACAGCCAGATGGACCACAACATCCTTCCCACATTAGTGGGAACCTACCTTACTCTGTGTGGGAGCTGGGAAAGACTACTTGTGCAAACAGCTACATGTCCCACCAGAGGCGGGGAAGCATGGGACAGTAAAGGCTGGATTCAGCCACATTTGGCCAGGTGCACCAGATTTGATGCACCTGAAATGTTTGACACTCACAGAGATAACTTCAGCTTTTGTTGGGCTATACAGAGAATGCCAGTCTTGTCTGGGGTGTTTTTCATCCAGCCGAGCCCAAGAGGAACCAGCAAGCGTAAGACTGATGCACCCACTAATGCAAGTCCCAACATTGCCTGGAATAATAGGAATAAACAATCCAGTGGTGAAACAGTCTGTGTAGTGCTTGAGAGAGAGCACAAGCATCAGTATCTCTGGGAAGAGCCATAAAAACCCATCCCTGTATCATCATCAGTCCCAGGAAACAAAAAACAAACAAACAAACAAATGCATCAAGGTCTATCAAGTCCTCTGCACACACACATTGGACTTCTAGGTGCCTTTCTATGAAGCTCCTATTTTGAGCAGTGATCAATTTTGCATTTCAAGCCATATGGCACCTTCATTCCAAAAGGAAGGCATTTTGTCTTGAAATCTGTAAGCTAGAAAATCTGCTGCATCCTGACGGAAATGCAGCATCACCAGCTATTCACAGAAGCAGAATCATTAAGAGAAAAAAGAAAACCAGGATAACACAAACCAGACATCCAACTTCCACTGAAATACCCTGGAAGGGAAAATGGACCCTTGCATGTGCTCTTCCAAACAGTCTTGTTTTAATTAATCTGAGTTAGAGCTTTGATTTTTGTAGGAAACCTGACACAATATGCAACATTCCCAATTGAGCAGAATCTTCTCCAGGCAAAAAAGTAACTCAAGTCCTCTGGGGTCATTGGATATGCTACCAGAAATGATGGCATTGAGCCTACAGCAACAAGTGATTCTAGAAGACTCTTCTTATAGGAGACCAAGCTGCTCCTTCTCCCATAGACTCGTATACCCCAGGTTTAGTTCCAGCAGCCTAGTGGAAATGGCACTGCCTCCCAGTGCTCTCCAGGCCTACTTGGACTGAAATAACAACAGTGTGAAATTCAAAAGGTGCTCTAACTGATCTAGTTCCTTCGCACTCTTGGCACTGGTCAGGCCAAACCCACAAAAGCATCAGTAAGTTATTTCAATTGCTGCCACAAAGGGTAATTAATCATCAGCAAAGGCCAGCAACTTGGTAGTCTCCAAAGGAAACCAAGTGGGTGACAACTTACCATAACCGTGTGATGCCCAGCCGCGAGGACTTCCGTGGCCTTGAATCAGGCAGGACAAACTGGGGAGAACGCTTTGAAAGAGGACCAAATGTGAAAATCAGCTGGCTACCCCATTGCCTGCCTGTGCACAACCCCCAAAACAATCACTTTACAGGTGCTGACAGACACAACCTTTCTGCTATGCCAGGTATACATATATCTGCCACACTTCCAGGTGGCAGATGCAGCAACAGTCCTTCCTTAGTATAGAGGCACAGGCTCACTGTGCTCCTATAAAGCACTTTGGACCATGGCCCACTTCCAGCACAAGCACAGGAGGCTCTCTGTGTAGGCTTTTCTGTGAAAGAATACCCAGAGCTTAGGAAATATTTATTAAATCATTTCTTCCTTGTTCTGCAGGTCATTGCAGTTGTTTGGAGACATACACCTAGAGTTCAAGGTCTCCCAGAAAGACATAACAGTTGGCTTGCAGCAATGTTCTCCCTGTAAATAGCTGTGGTGATCAAGTCTAAGCTCTTTGCGGTTGAATGGGTTCTAATCTAAGCAAAGGAAGGGGGAATGTGTGGGCAAGGCTCTCCTAAGTGCCAACATGCAAAGCTCTGCTGACCCGGAGCCCTCCGGGGACTCCCTGGGCCAGGATCCCAAGCAGCAGCGTGCCTGGGGTTAGGCTGTAAACCAGGCTTTGCTGAAGAGAAGCTACAGGAAAGATGATTACAACGCCCTCACTTATCAGTTTTGATTATTGTGGTAACAGCTTACATAGTTCTTCACTCCAACACAGCCAACACTTCCTTCCTGCTTTGGGCTATCCCTTCCACACCTGTACAATCACATCCAGGCTGGCAGTATGTACATCAGTCCCAGCCCAACCTTGTTTCACAACCGCTTGCATTTCTCCAGCTCCCAGGGTCTGTCAGCAGGTGGTGCTTCGCGGCAGCGCTGGGCAGGCGGCACGCAGGCCGCCTGCTCACAGAAAGATTAATGCATTGGTGTGGGACAGCTCATCAACTCCAAACAGCTCCATAAAGAAATGGGTGCCCCTGACAAACCACCTCCCTCACGGGACACACGCCTTGGATTGGTGTTTAATAATTTTTTCTGCAACTTGGCATCAGGCTTCTGGAGAGGTTCCTCCTTGGTACAGGAAAGGTAACTACAGATTTACAGCTTTCCTTTGGCTTATATACTGCTGTAATTTTAAAGGAGCATAAACCAGGATCCCACAAGCAAGGTTAAAATAAAGAGGTTTATATGGAAAGGCTTTAACAATCTATATGTTGGTGGAAATAAATTGAAGAGCATTCTGGGACTCTTCCCCCAAATGACTCTGCTGCTGCAAAAACTTGTCCTATAGAGCAAGTTGGGAAAATTGTTTGACCCCAGGCTCAGCATTGATTAATGACTGGGTTTCCCACCACTCCTCAGTTGCATTAGATCTCAATCAAGATCAGGTGATGACCCTCACCAGCCTTGAACAAACCTTACAGCTCCATTAAACATATTCCCTTCTCCAGCTAATGCCTTACAGCCAGGAAGTATGTGCCCCTGCCAATTCCCTGAGTTCTCAGCTACCCACTCACAGCCCTCTTCTTGTCCTGGCATGAAGGGGACAGCACTGGGAAGCTGACTCACCGTGCTGGGAGGCAGGATGAAACATGCCCATGGATCTGGACAGGATAAAGATGTTATCTTCTTTCAATTTGGTGAAAAGTGCAAAACTCTCACCCCAGGTAACTCCATTAAGGTGGCAATTACTATTTCTGTAGTTATTTTGTGAAGGATGAAGCCTTCTCTGGCCGTTCTGGTGGCTCAGTCAGTCTGCGCTACGCAGGCTCCTGCTGGCTACGCTGCCGTTAACACTACAGGAGGACTCCAGGCCTACAAGTAGCACAGAGCACTGTTCACTTCAGCATGCCAGAAAGCTTTTTGAAACTGCCTTTTACCCCACCATCCCTCCTGCAGCAGGTCCAAAATTTGGGCCTTGGTCTCTATAAACAGAGTCCCCAGTGGTCCCTCCTTCAGTGTGCATTCTGAGACACTTCACTTAAATGGCAACTATCACTCCAGCTCAACAATCAAAACTCAATCACTCAAGACTTCAAAAGCTTCACCCCTATTACTCTGTAATAACCTGGAGGAAAGAGTTGGTATCAACTGTCTCAGGAAAAGCATGCACCTAACTCATGAAGTAACTGTTTGGACAAACAACAGTGCAGAGTTACATCCGAAAGATGAAACCACCACTGATAACAGCCCAGATTAGTCCACCACCACTGTCAGGTTCTTTCATACCTACCAGGGATTCACTTCACCTTGTAATATTCAGGGAGCACAGAAGCATGAAATTTGATTTCTTTCTTCTAAAGATGCTGGAGATTATTTTAATAATTCTTACTTAGATTACTGAAAGAAAGCTCTTGTTCAGTGATTTTATATGAAGTCTTTTAATATGTTTCAGCAATAAAATCTCTGCTTTCTTTTCTATAAATGTACTAATCTCACCAAAGGATATAATCTAAACAGTAGAATGAAATAGAATAAAAATATGCAGCAGCAAGCGAATATTCTTTTCAAACAGAAACCCGCTCTGAACTATGTGCAGTCTGTTCAATCAGATTAGACCTGAGCAACAATTTAAATCCCAGCTCCAACTATCAATATGAAGAGCAGAAAACGTTCTTTTACCCTTTCGTGGATCTCTGTGTGAAGATGCACAGTTGAGAGAAGCAGAATCAAAAGGAATAATAGCAGACAGCAGGAAAGGTGAGATATGTCAAACAAAGGACACCAAATAAAGGAGAAAGTGTAGGAGAACTGCCTTGGTAAACTCTGTGTATCACTATCTGCAGGCTCTGACCCTAAAGCTTGCTGTTTGAGAGCCAGATCCAGTGAACCATTTCTCTGTGTGTTAAAAAAAAAAAAGAAAAAAAAAAAAAACAGCAGGAGGGACAGGGCAGGAAATACAGTGGAAAACACATCCCACGGATTTACGAATTTATTGTCTGCTTGAAACATATTTCTAGGGGGTTAATAGGCCAAATTAATTCATAATGAGTTCAAACCAAAATAAGAAAGACTCATTTGCATTAGTACATGCAAGAGAAATATAACTGGGTCTGATAATTCATGGCTGAGTTACACAAACACCTATCAGGGATCTTAAAGACATACTTAGACCTGACTGCTTATCTACTGTATGGTCTGCTGCATTACCTTAATGTATGGGCTGCAGCTACGTGTTCTGGGAATAAATACTGTATTTCTGAGATAGTTAACTCTTGACATACCCTGGTTTTTAACATAAAACATTTGGTTTTAAAAGAATAAAATTGTCCAATCACATTTATATGTCCTTTTAGAGTTAGAACACAAATATATACCATTCCTGTCGCCATGCTGATTTTACCATGAAGATATTAAAAAAACATATGGCAGCTCTCCTTGGAGAAATGAATGTATTCCTAATGGAAGATTCCCAGTTAAATGATGAAATAGTTAGGTGAACACTGTTGGCATGGTAAATAAAAGCAGAATCACTACCTGCCTGCTGTCTGGAACTAGAAATACTCTCCCAACAACAATGAAGGTTAAGAGACTGAAAAAACCCCATCCCCAGTACCCAAGTATTTTCTATAGCAGAGTGAGATCACCCCAAAGATGGAGATTAATATCAGTATTTAATAAAAAGCAATTTTCAAGTACCACAACAGCTTTATTCCCACCTGACAAGTAACTGCTGTAAGCATATTAGTAATGACCACATAAGATTAATCTGTAGTTCAAGATCTACACAATAAAGGTTGGTGGGTTTTTTTCTGTCTTTTTAAAATAAGACTTCACTGTTCTTACAGAGGCATGGAGATCACCTCAGGCAATAATTGTTTTCTCCAGGTTCTTATGGATCTTTAAAAGTAGGCTAGAGAAATTTAAAGAAAAAAAGTTAATAAATACTTGAGGAAAGTCAAAGGCAGTACTTTTGCTCATTTTAAAAAAAGAAATCTTAAGAAAATTAAAACTCTGAAAAAAAGTTCCTTCAGTTAACACTTCCTATTGCAATACGAACAGAATGTACAATATGTACTACATTGACTTATGCTTTCCATACGTGAGGAGTAAAGTTGTCTGTCTTCATTACAACTTTTCAGGTTTTGCTTCTGATTGCTCATCTATCAGGTCTTTATATCCCAATTTTTCCAGTGGTTCGTTAGCCATAAGTTGCCTAAGTTAAAAACAAAACAACAAGAATGTTTTGTATAACACAGTCTATAACCAAGAGAATAGCAACATTTAGAGTAAACAGTGCTAGACAAAAGAAATCCCAGGTATCCACACCAAGCAACTGCTGCTTGGAAAAGCCTCTGAAACTTTTTGGGAAAGCAACATTCAGGGATACTTTTTTTTCTTAACAGTAGCTTTCCAATTAAATGTGTTGCTTCCTAATACTAGATATTGAATAAGAGTTCCCTCAGAAGCTGACCCGACTCTTGGTTATCTTTAATTTACAGACTGCATAAGAGCTTCCTAAAATTCTACCTGTGCCATTTACCAGATTTTTAAGTGAATGTGGTTTAGAACAGCATTTGTAGTGTCACTACACTTTGCTGTCGTGACCTTCAAACGGTTTTTGATTTGCAGCCTTCCTCACCACCAGCCCATGCAGCGTATGCAAGTGTCCTTGTATTCAAGTGCACTCTGTGCATTTCCCCGCCTCTGCCCTGAACAGAAAGCACTGCAAAGCAACACTGAAATGGAAACATCCCTGGAAAACCAACCATCAACACTTTTTTCACTTGAACTGCACAACAAGTTAAACTTTTAACCTGTAACCATAGATAGGGGGAAAAAAAAAAAAAAAACCTTCACATTGAGAAAGACGGCTGTGCACGGTGGAAGCTTGGCCGGCCTCGCAGTTACTCAGCCTTTCGGGCTGGGTATCTACACCACATCGAAAACATAAGGCAAGGAAACTGCTAAAGCCACAGAGGACACCTGCTTCTTGCAAGGACACGAGCTTTCCGCACGAACCCCTGCCCGCGGGGTCCGTTCCCCTCCCCGCCCGCCCGGGCCCCGCAGGCCGGGTGCCCCTTGCCTCTCCATACGGCACTCCAGGTAGGCCATGGCGCGCTGCCGGCAGGCCCCGCTCTCGTAGCCGCTGTCGCGGAGGCACTCCATGAACCGCTCCTTAAAGGCGCTGCACTCCCCTGAAAGAGAGCGAGGGCCGCGCTACCGCCGGGCTCGGGCAGCGCCCGCCGCGGCCCGCGGGGAGCTGAGGGGAACGGGGAGGCGCGGACCCGCGGTAGGCCGCGGGGAGGCCAGGCCCGCGTTACCGCACCGAAGTGATCCAGCGGGAAAGCGCCCTTGTCCGGCGGCCGCGGTGTGAAGCTTTTGCTGCTGAAGTTCATGGCGGTGGACATGTCGGCGGCGGGAGGACGGACGGACGGACAGACAAGCCGCAGGTCCCTCCAATCACACACTCGCCGCCTGGGGGGAGCCGAGCGCCGAGCGCATCGAGCGGGGGGCACGTGACTGCGGCCGCTCCGCAGCGGGGGGGGGGGGGGGGGGGCGGGGCCCACGCCGCCATGGGAACGGCGTGGCCGTTGCTGCGTCAACCGGAGCGCCTCGCTCCTGCGGGGCGGGGGCGGAGAGGGGGCGCGTCGCCACGGCAACGCGCGGGTGGGCGCCAAGAGTGACGTCACCGCCGCAGGCCTCGGCCACCAGCGCGTGTCACCATGGAGACACTGCCGCTGGCCGCCATCTTGGCTCGGGCCCGCGGCCTCCGGGGGGCGGCGGGGTCGGGTCGGATCGTTCCTGCTGTGCTCCTGCCGCTCCCCGCAGCCAGGGCTCGATCAACCTCTGCGAAATAAAACGGTTTATTCTCATAAAAAGCAGTTGTGTTGTTTTTTTTTGTCTCCTAATTAGCCGCCGGGCTCTGTGAATGGGAAGGGTGAGAGTGATGGTCGCTGCCTGGTGAGGGGCAGGGGAAAAGGGTTTGTCGTGTCGCGTTTGTTCGCTTAGAAATGAAGGGAGAAAGGGTAAAACTCAGAGCCCGGTGCCGGCAAACCAGTGTATACGGGATCCTGCCTTATCTGAGCATCCCCCGTTTCCACCCAGGAGCCTGCGGTCGGGCCTGGGCTGAGGTGGGCTCCTCCTTGCCCTCCACCACGAAGAACAAATTCCTCACCTGGCACTGCTGAGCATGGGGCTCGACTTAAAACATGTTTTTCAGGACCCAGCTCTGGCTGGTGGTGTGATCAGAAGCTCTGGGGATCAGTACCCGGGGAGGCAGTATGAACTTTCCTTAGAAATCCAGCAAGATTTTGGAAAAAGCCAACCCTGTCCTGCCGCGATGACGTGAACTCCGCCATCAGCCACCCATGACAGCAGCAACACAATTGCTCATCCCTCCTTAATCCTCCCGGTTTAACGCCCGTGCACCAACCTGATGGGCAGCACTGAATTATATTATGCCTCCTAAGCACTGGGCAGGTTCGCATCAGGCAGCATGAACACTCATGAGGCCAGTAAAACCTTTGGCAGATGCCTGGGAAATGGTGAACTTCTGGGTCCTCAAGACAGATAACCAAGAAAAACACCCCTTCTGCCTGCAGGTTTACAGCACACTCTCTGCAGAGCCTCAGATCTCATCCTGAAAGGAGGATAAGAAATGACGCTAATTTAACCTACCCGAGTGCAAACTGTGGCTTACGCCGTTAGAGTCTTTTTTCTTCTTTGCCCATAGCTGCAATTGGTTTAAGATGGTCTTTCATCTGCTTTAAGTTGATTTTCTTTTAATTAAATGACTGAGATAAGTAGAAAGAATTCAAGGTTGGGAAGAAAAAAAGAAACAGCTGCAATTGTTAAGGACAGCCATTATGGAAATATTACCTGCAGCCCCATTTACAGTGTGTTTTGTTTATGCTTTGATTGCTTCCTTATTACAGTATTGAAATTGTAAATGGAAAATTACACTATGTTCTATTACATAAGCAACTGGTTTACACAGCCTGAAATATAAGGTTTTATTTCTTATTATGTTTTCAGGGCTATGAACAATAGATGTTTTTTATTATACGGTAAATAGCACTTTTCCACTTGACTTCGTTATAACACTTAACAGTAAAAGGGAGATACTCCTTTTTCATAAATACATGCAGCAAACTGTCTCCCAGGTCTCAGAGGACTGAGCAGCAGAGAAGCAGCTTTGGTTTATCTGGACAAGTTTAACTGAAGTGTCAAGGTACTTGATTTTAGCAAACTGCCCAAATCATGTCCCTTATTTTCTGGCACAGTGATTGACTTGCTGATTCTTCATGTGATGAAGGAAGAAATCAAAGGAAAAAGATATGCAAGGATCCCCCAGTGGAATTATTCTTGAACAGACAGCAACAATCCTATGCAAAGGCTGTATCACCTTGCTGTATTACATTATATCCAGATGTTTTGATTACCTATTAATTAACTCACTGTCTTTGCAGTCTTAAATTTTGTAGTTACCCAAATTCAGATCAGATATAGTAGCAGGTGTTTGGTTATGCTTACTTAATGTTTTTATTGCAAATGTTAATTGTATCTTCTAGAGTTTCCTTTAATGGTACGGTTTGTCTTAGAGCCTAATACATGTGCTTTAGCAGTTTAGCATGTTTTTCTCAAGGAGATCAAATTAAACCCCTCTTAGATAATCAGTGTGAAGAAAAAAAAAAAACAACCTTGTTTGCAGATTAAGCCAACCAGTTCCAAAAGAATTCAATAAAACCAGTGTCACAAAGATCAGTGCCACAAATAAAGAATTAAATGTTTTTCACATATTATCTTTCAACGATGTGAGAGACTTTCATGGCACCAGGGAAATCTGAAATAGCTGTTTCGGTAAAAAGGTGCCCATTGTACAAGAGAAATTGGATAATTTGTAAAGCATCCAGTGTTTCACAGTATCCCTAGTTTGGAATCCTGAGCCCTTTCCAAAAATTAGAAGGCTCAAATTAGAAGGCTCACCAAACTAGAGGAAATCTTGGATCTTCCCCTTTCAAGTTACACAGCTTGATAGATTAAAAAAAAAAATCCTTTCCTTGAATCAGAGCTGTTAGTCATTAATTATGGACTAAAAAGTCCTTAATTATGGACTAAAGTAACATTTTTTAAATGTCTGCTTTTTTACAACATCAGATCACACTGAATATTTATTCCGCTCTTGGTGCTTATCTGTCAGTTGTACAAATGTACCTCCAGAAGGAGTTTTTACACACTTAGCATTACTTTTGGAAGCACCAAATTGAATAATAAATCAGAGCAGAACCTTTATTCCCTTTTATAGACAGGGTAGAGTCCAGGATGTTCATTATTTTCCCTCTCTCACCATGCTGCATCTTCTAAGAGCCTACAGATTCAAATTATCAGGTAGTTAATTTGAAAATAATTTATAGACAAGCCCTGAAAGGCTTTGAGTAAAGTACTAGGGGATATTGTAGCTTGACTTGGGATAGCTGTAAGAAATTAATCAGTTGAACAAGACCAAGCACATTCAGACACTGGAATTTGTGCCCTTGAGACTGCTGTTCCCAGCCCAGGCACAGAACACACCTCAGAGAAACATCCTTCCAGGATCACTCATTCCTATGCCTCTCCCTTGCGCGGCAAGCATGCCGCCAGCTCTTACATAAGGTCTCTTGCTACATCATTGCCACAGGCTGTTGTAAACCATTTTTTTCCCTTTTAGTTCAGGTTCCTAGACAAGCAAAAATGCAGAATATTGCCAGAATAGTCTGGGGAATGGGGATTTCTGTTGTGGATGATTAATGGAATATTACTGTTTTGCACTTACAGGGAAATCATAGTTTCATGCCAGTAAGGTCAGGGCCTTAATATGTTATGTGCTCTACAAAGATGTACAGAACAATAGCTCATTTTCTGTTATGATTGAGCCAAAGCCTCATCAGGTTAGAGGGGAATGTGGTAGAAATAGTAACACTGTGCTGAAAGCCAAAGCAAACATTTTTCTTACATTGATAGTTGTAATTCTGGTGTATCTAAATCCACATCTCTCTGCATCAAGACAAGGGACCCAAAAGTAAGATGCTGGGATCCTGGCTCTGCAGATACTTATCAACTAGTCATCCTTCATGCTATTCCCCAAACTGCCCTTGGATATGCCCTGTAATTTCTGCAATACTGTGTTGAGATAGAGTCAAACTATAAATCCAGAACAAAGAGGTCCTTGGAGCTATGTCAAGGCATGTGATCTGTTCAGTCATATTTTGAAAATACATTCTTCATAACCTGACCTCCTCAATACTGACTTCTCAGGTCAGGCTGTCTTGGGTTGTTGGCATAAGTGTGAGGTCTGGAAGATCATGCTTCTGCCTATAGTCACAATGGATTTTACTGCAAATATTCTTATAACTATCCATATTATAAAGTACATTACCAGCACCAGATCCCAGGATCTCCCATGTATTTTGTCACTGAGTGAGACTCGTGAAAGAACAGGGCTTTTGACAGCAACAAAGTTCCTGAGAACAGCTTGTTACTAAAAGGGGTAAATGCTTAACATGAATGGGAAATACTGTGACCTTAGGCTCCACACAGAGACAATGCACTGATCCCATGCACAAATTTTTAACTTTTCTTCTCCCAGTGACCAGACCCATCACATACAATCTGTCAGCTCACAATATAGAAAAAACCCAACAATCTTTCATTGAAATTTTGCAGTGAAATAATGATTTTGAAAGGTATTTTTCAGGAATCTTTCCTCCCAAAGTAGATGTGCAACACACACTGATTTGACACATAAAAGAATTCCAGTACAAGTTATTTGTATCAAAATGAGCACAGTAAACACTTGAGATACTGATCACTACCCTGTGATTTTTTATGAAAAATTGAAAGAGGTCAAAGTTGGAAAGCTTTTGATCTCTTTTTGCACTGGCATTTGTCAAGGTGAGCAAAATCCATTAACAAGGAGCAGCCTGAGTTTTAACACATCTGAGTCTTCAAAAATGTTAATGTTTAATAGGGTGTGCTCATGCTTTATATATCCCTGATAACAATGCATGGGCTGATAGGCATCTCTTGAGGTTGTAAATCAGTGGCAGAGCCTTGCAAGGCACACAAATACTTGGTGTTCACTCTCATGTTTTATTATGTTATCAGAACTCATTGACTGAATTATGGCCTTATAACAGCTCTTTCTCTATATTATCCTGCTGTTACTGTAGCATTATTAACCTATGTCCCATTAGAAGATTGTAAGTCCTTCTCCAGATGAGCACACAGAAGTTAGATGACTCTTGGGCTGTTTAATGTACAGGCTTATTTTCTAAGAGGAACTGATTATTTCCCTGAGCTATACCCACAGAGTCTACTTACCTACAGATGATATCGGTTCTGGCTTGGGCTGGTAGAAAGACAAAGACCTGTGATTAGGGAGCAACATTTTCCCCCCAGTCATGTGTGGGATGCCTCACCTGCAAGCCAGAAACTCAGTTATAGGCTGTGGTCAGGATAGTGTACTGGAAGCCAAGTCATGTGAGGAAGAAATGGAGGTGAGGACATCACATTAGTTCTATTTTAAAACCGCAGTGATGCCGTCCCACTGGAGAACTCATCCGTCATTTCCCACAGTGCATGCATCAGTCCAGCAGGTTGCAAGTCCATAGGCTCATTACTTGACAAAGGATTTCACACTGTCTTATCGCCAGGTACAACCTGAAGGTTTAAACAGCATGAAAGCCCTTGAGAAGGCGCTCTTGCTTTCTGTGACAGTAGCCAGCTCTACTCCAACTTCTATACAAAAATAGAAATAATACATTTCCTCCATTTGTACCTAACTGGGCCCATGTAGGGTTTTTTCCTCACTCTTGCTGCATATTATGATGTCTCAAGAGTCCCAGTGGTCACACTATTTGCTCAGAGAAGAGTCTGACAGAACAGAATATTCTTGGAAATATCTGGGAGAAGAGGGTGCAGGCCAAGGTCTCACAGCTGTGCAGCAAATCTCGAGACGGCCATGACCGTCCTTTCTTTGCCCACCCTGCCTAGTCCTCGTCTGCACAGGGTAATTCTCCCTTCTGAAAAATTCCACTCCTGATTACCAGCCTTGGAAAATAGGCAGACATGCAGGCACCTTTTTCATGTCAATCTAGTTAGAGTTTATTGATTCTCCTTGCCTTCAGCTAATGTACTTTTATTATTATTATTATTAAATAATCATCATTTTTCCATCAGTGGAGCCTGCACCTGGGAGCCTTGGAGGATTCTAGCAAAAGTATTGTTAAAACTAAGGGTTTCTAAAGGGTTGAACAGCAGCATGACCCAGGAATCAGACAGAATCTGCAACTGGGGAGCAAAATATCCCCACTTGAGAATATGTGACAGAGCATCAAACTGGGTCCTTCGCCTAGAGCCACCATTTAAAACTGTGGCCTCGTGTTCACGATCACATCTGCTTTGTTGTCATGCCCCAAGGATGCAAAGGGTGTGCAGGTGGCTCTTGGGGAGCTGTCGCCCGGGCACGCAGGCTCTTGCAGGACCCTGCCCTGGCATGGTGCGTGACTCAGTACACCTGGAGTGCCAGAGCTGTTGCTGTGTGCTCCTCCGGGCTGGCAGCCCCTCAGCAATAGTTGCCCAGGCAGCCTCCAGCCTCCTGCCTCTGCCTGGCCAGCTGCAGAGCCTGATTCTGGCCCCTCCCAGGTTACAAAGATCCCAGATCTCTTTCCCAATCTAAGCAGAAGGATTGCCTGGAGGGGATGGGTTCTCCTACAGGATTGCATGCATCTGCTCGTAAACAGGCAGGACAGCCAGGAAAGAGTCATCACCAAACTCAGAGGCAGAGGTGGACATCCAGGCACACAGTTCTCTGGAGAGTAAACTGCAAAATAGTGACTGAAGTGGTTTCGGAGGCATTTTGGAATTGCTGGTAGAGGATTTGGGGGACAAGATCAACAACAGTGTCAGCAATGAAAACACTGTGTTGCTCAAGGACATGATTTTACTGGGGTGACAGGAAAGCAAAGAGAATCAGAGTTGTCACCTGTAAGCAGCCCTAATCCTGTCTGCAATCCTGAATTAGTACATCTTTATGCTACCACCATTCCAACTCTTCCTTGGTCGGCATCATCTTCCCTGAGGACTTCCTTGCCAGCAGCACCCTGGGCCATGAATTACTGTGGGCTTTCTCTCCTGCTTCCTGCATTGCATCACCAGTGGTCCAGCTGAGGCCTGTGACCTGGCACTGTAACAGCAATCCACAATGGGTCCTGTCCCTTAATTCTGCCCCTGAAATCACGTAGACCACAACATACCCATAACACAGATTTTCACTGGAAAACAAACACCTTGCCCCAGTGTTGTAGATGAAATAGGAGCTCCAGATTAAGATAATCCATGTTTCAGCATAAAATAGGTTGCTTTATTTGGCATAAAAATAAACTACATCTGGTCTAAATGGAAGTAAACAAGACCTCAGAGTCCATTTCTCTGTGCAAAGCCACTTCCCCAGAAGGTGTGTTCAGGCAGTGGCAGAAGGGCTATAAAGGGACCCCAAGATACTCATACCCACACTTCAATCTAGACATGGCCATACAGAGTTTGCTGCAGTACGTGGGCTCCAGCTCGCTGCTCTATTTGGCAGCAGGGCTGGTCGCTCTCCTTTACTTTCTTACCAACTTGAAGAACTCGGCTTGCAGTTTGCCTCCTGGGCCACGACCCCTTCCTTTGATCGGAAACTTGAATGTGGTGGACCTGAAAAAGCCGTTCCAGTCGCTGACAGAGGTAGGGCCTGAGTGAGCAGGCAGGAGGAAAATGTGCAATTCCTGAAGCGAGAAATGCAACTGGGGAAATGGAGATGTAATTGTGTTTGTATTGTATGTAGGGCAGAGATGAGATATTTGGTGTATAGACAGGCTGGCAGAGTTTCTTTACCTTCAGAGGCATACACACATATACACGTATTTATATATATAAATATAATACACACATTCCTTCCTTTATACACACACAAGCAAAAACCCCCACCGCTTGCAATCAGCTCCACCTTGTTGGTATTTTGAGCCCCTCAGAGGCTGCAGGTAGAAGATTCAAGTTGGGCCAGCCTGCTGACAGATCAGGACTGTTTGCCATCCAGAGACATCTCACTGCAGACAGACCTCTCCCACTGAAGGTAGGTAGGAAGGAAGGGTATCATCCCCACAGCAGAGAAAATGGCGTCATATGCACATTTATTTCCAAAGCTAATTATATCCCTGCAATGCAAAGATCAACTCTGCCTCCCCTAACCTTTCCCAACCCTTCCCCTGCACACACACACTGGTCAGGGTTATTTAAGACTTGATGGATGACTTTTGTATATCTAGGTAAACAAATTGCTTTTTCTCATGCAGATCCATGGATACTTTTATTTCTAAAAGAGAAAAAAAAAAAAAAAAGACTTAAATATTATAAAGCCAGGTGCAATGATTGTTTCAGAAAATGCTCTGTTTCCATAGGGAGGTGGGGACAAGTCAATGTGAATTTAGATTTCTTCCAGTTGCTGTAGAGGTTGTTGAGGTGCTGTGAGTGACCTGTCACATACCATGTGTGTGTGCTTACCAGACACTATGATGGGGGAAACCCAGTGCTCAGTGAACTCCTTCAGCCACCTGAAGAGCCACAGTGAGGGGTCAGTGAAGGCATCGAAATTCTCCAGTTAGCCATGGAAGAAAGGGCATCCTGGGATGAAAAAGTACAGAATTCCTATAGCAGTCATGCAGTGTTCATCTGCCTTGATGTACAGTGCAGAGGATGGTGCAGAGCACAGTTTTGATGGACTTCTGGTCCTGAGCTCCCCTATGATCATAGGTATGTTTGAGGGTGCTGGTATGGAAGAGTAGCTATTCTTGGCGCTACTGGGGGATTTTATGATACAAATGTCATGCAAAGGCACCAGACTAATTTCCTATAATCTGCCAAGCAGCTTTCTTTAGGCTTTCAGACCTGCCACATCCAATACTTCTGTTGCTGAGAAAAAACAGGGCTGATGCCAAGAAGTACTAATGCAAAGAAATGACCCAAGGAAGGCTAGGAGGTGGCTGTGATTCCCTGCCCCTGGCTCTGCCACACACTCTCTGAGCTGCTGGGGATGAAAGAACCAGTGTTAATGTTATCTCCCAAGCCGTCAAACCACCGTTTGATGAAAACAAATTCAATTTGTCTGGTGTAATAACAGGAGCTGCTTCTAATCTGAAATTCAATTTTCGGAATGTATCTAATGCATAGCAAATGGTAACCCAGGCACATCGGAAACAAGAAGACATTTGGAGCGGATGGCTTGCAGTGTGTTTAAACGAAGTCTAAAATACCGAGTGAATGATTAGATTGTCAAAGCCACCCTTCTGTGTAACAGATGATTCATATTTAATTTGCTATAAAAGCCTAGAGCTCCTGTGACATTATCTACAAGAATATGCTTCCTAGCTGGATTCAAGTTGCTGGTGGCCAGCAAATAATTTTGTGATGACTGCAACACTACCCACCTTGCCATAATTAGAGACAAGTGCTGTCCTGAAAGAAAGAATTATTGTCTAGCTTTGTTTTTGCAGTGTTTGTGGCTTCAGCCTCAAAGATGTGTGCACACCCGCTTGCCTCAGGTCAACAGCATTAAAATAAACAGGCCTGCCTGATACAGCATTTTCTAACTAGCCTCCGAATGGTAGTATCTCTGGGCTGGCCTGTTACTGCAGAACAGCAAAGGAATGCAATGGCGTTGTATTGACTTCTCTGATAGGAGCAGTGATAGCAGACACCTTGTTGTGCAAACAGGGTGCAAGCAGAGATGCTGGCATCGATAGCTGTTGCTCATTAGTTGCGTTACAGCAGCACCTGGAGACTTCAGGCAGGGCTGGGAGGCTCCTTTCGGGCTAGAAAACACCTAGGGTGGCTAGTGCTAGTGTTTGGGTCCAGATCTGGTTTTGAATGAACATATTTATTCATCTTGACAGCTCTCCAAGATATACGGCAATGTCTTCACTGTGTATTTTGGACCCAGGAAAGCTGTGGTACTGGCTGGATATGAAACCATTAAGGATGCCCTTTTAAATCATGCTGAAGAATTTGGAGAGAGGGCAGAAATACCCATATTTAGGAAAATGACACAAGGAAATGGTAAGTGACCTTTTGGCTGGTTAGTTTTTGTAGTTTGTCTATGTTCATGTTCTTAGAGCACAGAGTATCATCCTTTTACACATTGCTTTTTGTTTCTGCAACAGTGTAACAAGCAGCTTTGGTACCAGTGTGTTAAGAAGATCTTACAAATGTTTATTAACCACAGGTAACATAAGGATGTTACACCTTTATTATAGGCATAGCATTCAGCCATGGAGAGCTATGGAAAACTATGAGAAGATTCACCTTGTCCACACTGCGAGATTTCGGAATGGGAAGGAGAACCATTGAGATCCGAATCCTGGAGGAAGTAAACTCCCTTATCAAATATTTTGAATCCTACCATGGTGAGTGGCAAGACTTTCATCCAGAGACAGAAAACATGTCTAGCAGAACAATAAAGATTAATGCAAGTTTAACTCTGAGCAAATGGTATCTCATGGTTAAAGTTCAACATACGCCGAAGTAGGTTATTAAACTGAGGACTTAAAACATTGAAACCAAGTTCCCTGCTAAGCATTCTGAGTGTTGAATTATTTTTTCCTTTGGGAGCTCAGGACTACATTTCCATAGGAAACCAGACTGAAATGAACATAATCACAGTGTTGTTTGTTTTCGTTGCTTGAAATACAGGGAAACCATTTGATACGAAGATGATTCTGAACAATGCTGTATCCAATGTCATCTGCTCTATATTGTTCGGAGAGAGATTTGAATATGATGATCCTGTATTTCTAACTTTGCTGAAGATGATAAATGAAAATACTAAGCTGTTGGGATCCCCTATGGTGCTGGTAAGAGCTTGATTTTATGTTTAGCTTTTAGTTTTTGGGGGGATATTTGGTTGCCTGTGTGGCCTCCCACATCTTGCTTCATGAGAACAAGAACATTTTCAGTCAGCCAGCCTGTACAGAACACATCTGTGGTTCTGTATCCGCAAGACACAGATGCCCAGGCCCATGCACTTAGTCTGTGAAGCTTTTTAGTAAAAGAAAAAAACCCAAATTCTTCATAAAAGGAACTATTTTACCCTCTTTGAAGACCAGAAGCACAATATGTCTCTCTTATCAGAGATCAATCTTGAAATGCCATCTCAAATTTGCCTCCTTGTATTACACCTTCAGTAACTGTCTTAGTTCTGCCTCCCCTAGATCTAGGTTTGACAAACTTATTTTTCTTTTATTTTGGCCACTGAAACTCAATCTTAGCAAACTAACAGCTGATACAAACCCATTCCTTCCTGACACAAAGCTTCTGCTCTGAATGCCAGTAGTCATCTTTCTGAGCCACACTGAGATCTGCAGCTGGCTGTAACTCCAGACAAGCTAAGCCCAAAAAGCACCACCCAAGCACAGGTCAGAGAGTTACACACTGTGTACAGACACTCTCCCAGGACAAGGCACCAGCTAACAGCGAGTGTTTGTTTAATTGACTAGCAGGGCAGCTAGTGGTGTCCTTGAAGATGTGCACACCTCTCATGGGATGATGGGGGTGAGACCCCTCCTTTTTCCTGACAGCACGTATGTCCATGGGACATACTGCAATGCTGTGCTCAGTCCAGCTCCTAGGAACAGAGTAGTTGGGTTAGCTCGATGCTCTGCCTAAGCTAATTGGCTTGGAAAGCACCATGTTGACACAGCAATATTGTCTGTCTGTGTAAATGGCCAGTCCATGTCCCTTCTGCTGCCATAGGATGTCACAGACCCGAGGGCTGTGCCTGGAAAAAGTACAATGCTCATGTTCCCATCTTTCACATCTAAGACCCTCTGTCCCACCACCTACACAGCTGAAAGCCCTGAAAGAAGATTAAGCTGCTGAGTCTTCCAACATACATGGCAAGGACTCATGCAGAGGTATAACAGAGAGAACATTCTATTTCTGCAGCAGTTCATAGCTGCTTGGACTGTACAAGTGAATGTGGGGGAATTAGGACCTGAAATGTCAGGGCATGGGACAGGGGACCAGCAGTGTGGTTTGAGATACCAGTGTGTGTTCAAAATGCCAATTAACAGTAAGACTTATCTTCTACAGTTATATAATTTCTACCCATCCCTTGGATTTCTCTCTGGAGCTTCCAAGACTGTGCTACAAAATGTCAGTGAACTGAATGCTTTTCTCCAGAAGCTCTTCCAGGAACACAAAGAAGAGTTTAATGAAAATAACTTAACAGGCTTTGTTGATGCCTTTCTGATGAAGCAACAACAGGTACTTTAAAGCTAAGTCTCAGAGTCTTTCTGTTCTCTTAGCTCTGACTGATTATTAGGACTGACCATCTGTCAGGGACTGGGAGTGAGTGGAAACAGAACTGCAGTGAGCAGAATATATCAAAGCTCATACTCACAGTGAGCTGTGCTGTATTCACTCCATAGCTCCACTGAAACTGCTGGTTAAAGGGATCTGATTGTCAAGATGTCCCACGTGGGTGAAATAAGTTATCACTCAGCACACGTAAGGAGATCATCCCAAGCCTTCCTGCAAAAATGGTACAGTGATAAACTTCATTGCAGTAACTAAATTCCAACTAACCTAATATCTAGACCTGGGAATTGCTCATACACTTGGGACCAGACAAGTTCCTTACAGCATAGGCCCTAATGCTAAAATACTATACATTTAGTTTCCCAGAGCATATAAAACCACAAAAAAGCTAAAATGCAGATAAAAATGGTGGCAACACAGTCACATATTGGTATCATTTGATGTAGATCTTATGGCCATTACCTGTATGTTTTGAAGGAGTCAAAGAAAACCCACACTATGTTCAACAACGGAAACCTGTTGTTTTCAACCCTGGACCTCTTCGCTGCTGGGACTGAGACTACTTCTACAACTGTGCGCTGGGGTCTTCTTCTGATGATGAAATACCCAGAGATTCAGAGTAAGCCTGAGAACTCCTCTTGTACAATATGCTGTTGCATGCTTAATGCTTTGGTTGTGGAAGGGAGTGGAACTCATTCAGTGTTGTCTAGAGTAATTATTCTGAGTACTCTGAGAGAGATAACAGCCGTTGACTTTACAAAGGAATTTTATTCAGCTGGATTTCCATAAACCAGCCCAGCCAAGTGGGAGAGGCAAAGGGCCAGTCTACAGTTACAATAAATCTCCCCCATCGTTATTCTCCTGCAGGCTATGGGCTTACGTCACTAAAGGTCTCCTCAGGAGCTGATTCTGATCTGGTTTCTGTTGAAGGTTATGAGATAACAAAGGTGTTTAATCAGAATCAGACATGGGATGTAGTGTAGTAACTCCGTTCAAGCTCCCTTGGTTCAACAACAAACCTGAAAGAGCCACACCATGCCCTGACTTACCCACTTCTGCTCTTCCCAAATACCCCTCAAAGTTTTCCCTTTTATTCATCTCGGCCATTTCAGTTGCAAGATAAGAGGGTTATCAGCTTCTAAATCCTTTCCTCCCTCCAAGGAAAGATTCAGGAAGAAATGAACCATGTCATTGAACCAGGAGAGCTGCCTAAGTTGGAGGACCGGAAAAAAATGCCTTATACAGATGCAGTAATACATGAAATACAAAGGTTTGCCAATATTGTCCCAATGGGTGTATCACGATCAACTCCTACTGATGTGAATTTCCAAGGCTATGTGATTCCTAAGGTGAGTCTTGAGGCTAGCAGCTTACTATGCACAGACTCCTTATGGTTTATGTTTAAAGCTGATAAGAAGAAAAATACAAAAATCTAAAGACACCGTGATGCATGATTTAATCTATGAAGTGATCCTTTGTCTTGGATCCAGGATAGCTGTTATAAACATGCACTGGTCTGTGGTCTGTTACAGCTGTTTGAATCCAGAATAACCAGAGACTTTAATTAAATCACACTGGTTTGAATCTCTTATGTCAAATGTGGAACCTCTACTTTGGCACCTTTCTTGAAAGAACTGAAAGGAATGTTTTGTGGTCCAAAAAGTGAGCAGCAGCTACTGATAAGAGGCAGAGCCACAATGGGGCAGGGAAGCATCCCCCAGTTGTATTTGCTGTGGCTCACTATTATTTACCTCTTCACATTAGAAAAAAGAAGGACGCCTGGTTTGACTAGGAAAGTGATCTGCTCCAAACAGCTACTGTGAGTTCTCTGGTCCTTTTCAGGGTACAGAGATTATTCCACTGCTGACCTCCGCTCTGAATGATGAGTTACACTGGAAAACCCCAGATCAGTTTAACCCTTCCCACTTCCTGGATGCCAGTGGGAACTTCATTAGGAGAGAGGCATTTATTCCATTCTCCATAGGTAAGAGGGATGTGTGTGCACCACCCGGGGCTAGGCTAATGGCACAGTCCCCCTTGATTCCAGGAAAGTATAAAAGTCAGGGACACAGAACACAGGATAAGGGATTTCTGGTCATTTCTCCTGTCCACCATTGCTGTAGATAACCACCTCTTTTTGCGAGATCTGGGAGACACTGATTTTCCCACAATCACTGAATAATTTCATATACCTACAGGTTTCTGTGTAGTTTGAGACCAAGTCAGTAGCACCTCTAATATACAGAGAGAAAGAAGGAAAAAATTTTCTACTTCAGCACCCTGCCCTTATGAGCTGTACATCCAGTTTAGAAGCTCCCAAATATCAACACCAGCAGTTACAGTGCTGATCATCTATGTCTCTCCTGGTTGTTTTCAGGACGAAGGGCTTGCGTTGGAGAAGGACTGGCCAAAATGGAGCTGTTCCTCTTCTTTGCAGGCTTGCTCCGCAAGTTTGTTTTCCAACCCCCTCCAGGAGTGGATAAGTCAGAGCTAGATCTCACTGCTGATGTCGGCTTTACCTTGAACCCCATGCCTCACCTGGTTTGTGCTGTGCCCTATGAATGATCAAACGACATGGAGTTAGAGTAGTGAACACTTCAAGCTTGAAAGCAAGTCTAGTTACAGGGGGAAAAAGCTGTCTGTAACTGAGCTTTAGGGGAAGGAAGACACTGGGCACTGCTATTTTACTCTCATTTATGCCATTCTTTCCAGCAGCTTTTGTGGTGTCTGTATAATGCAAACCCTTCAGACACCCCTGAGTACTGCTCTCAGAAACTGTGATTCATTCCTGGAACAGCACATCAGAGATGCAGTTTTCAGGGCTGTTTGAAAGAATTAAATGGCTTCAAGCCTCCTTTATAGATGTAACCCATCAGAGGCTTTCCTCTGAGAGCCTCCATGGAGAATTTCTCAGCCCAAATTCCAAGCTCTGTAGCAGAGCTGATTATCAATGGTCCACCTGGAAACAACAGACAATGGATCTAGAAATCTCCCCAGGACAGTTGCTCAGCTGAGCCCCAGACTGAGCTTCCATTGTGTGATACAACCTGCCTTATCTTTATTACAGAGTCCCAGACACGAGGGTGTAACATGGGCTGATGCCAAGATCCAGGCACGGGACAGTTATCAGAAAACATCTAAGTGGTTTTGGAAGTGGGTTCATTCCAACTCACACAGGGCACTTTATGCCAAAGAGCCTGTTTATGATGGGGCCAATCTAGAAGCTTTCTGCTTCTGCTAAGAAAGGCATTTCTACCACTCCCTCACCTCTCCTGGCTTCATGCTGGCTCTGGCATTTGTTTGATTCCTTACTGGGCCATCTTAGATCTCTAAACTGGCAGAAAATGACCAGCCACAGAAATTTTCTGACTCAGCATGGCTAAAGCTGAACACAAGCCCAAGGCAGTGTGAGGGCGATGCAGCCTGGGGCTGGGCAGCAGAACTGCCATGCTCCCATCAGAGAGCTGAGAGAGGCTCAGCCCTCTTCTCTGCTTGCACCTTAGGAGCCGTAGTTGCTCTCTAGATCCTCTCTAGCCTCCATAGAGAGAGAAAATCCTTCAGTGTATGATCCAATTGCCATAAGATCTGAATTACTCACTCTCTGTTGTCTGCAGGCTAAACTATCATTGACAAGCTCCTAATTCAAACTTCAGTCTCATGTATCAGGTGTGTTGGGATGAATAGGGACAATATTTTCCATTTGACTGAAAATGGGGCTTCAACTCTTTAGAAAATGTTGCTGTCTTCAGCTCTGCACCAGATACATAGCCGTTGGCATTTCAAGCTGTCTTCCTCTCCAGACATTCCTTGTGTGAGGGATAGGCAGCAAGGTCTCCAGGCAGAGTGACAGACCAGCCAGCACTGCTGAGCGAATACCCCTGCCACGGCCTCTCGTGGAAGTTATATGTGCTCAGTACACAGCAGGAGCAGGGCCACCACAATAAGAACTGCAAGCGAAATTTTGGTGCTCGCAAAAAGTGCCTTGGCCACTTGTGTAGGAACTGAAGTTACAAATCTAGAGATGATAATGCTCACGTTCTGCCAGCAGTGATCTCGCATCATTGTCAAGGCTAATAAGATTTTGAATGTAGTCACTGTGAAAATAGATGTAAAACTGGTAATAGTGTCAGGAAGGAGAAGCAGGTTAGACTTTGTTACCAAGTTGCTCCTCTGTACCATTAACTTGTCAAACGGGGGTCTCTGTAGAAAGCTGGTGACACCCAAGAGACTGCAGCTGTCCTAGAGCAGCTGTTTGATTACTACAATTAATGATTTATTTCATGTAGCAGCCATTAGGAGTAGGAACAACTAGCTGTACCCACAAGGCTACACCCATTGAGGGAAGCGTGATACGTGTGTGAAATCTGAATGGCGGTGCAGGTACAAGAGAGGAGGCTGCTTCATGTGCTGTGGAACAGGCAGAAAACCACATGTGGGTTAGGGAGCAGTGAGTCACTGAGGATGCTTTTGTGTTGGTTTGGAGGCAGGAAAGTCAGGTTAGGATGAAAAGAAAAAAGGGAGAAACAGAAAGTTACAGAGACTGAGGGGGCAGTTATGGCAAATCTATGACATAAAACTAAAGCTGCTGTCATCTAAAGCTAGTCTGTGCTGCGAGTGGAAGGAAAGGAAGGAGGAAGAGAATATGAAGGAATGACAAAGTAGGGTGGTCTTTGGCCAAGACACTGACTCTTCACACTAGCTTTAGGTCACACAACTAAAGGCAGCACTCTAACAGTTGTACTGTATCTTGTACTTGTCCTGGTATTGCACTTGTACATCTATTGTTTCATGCGGCCAGCTCTAGCTTCTGGTTACATCTCAAGGAGTCTGCTTGACAAGCTATGTAACAGAAAAGCCTTCTCTGCTACACTTGCTTACGTTTTGTTTTGCTGTTGCTCTATTTGAAGTCTAACTACTGCAAGCCTGACCTTATCTCCTACTTAATAAATAAATATTTTGCTCTGTTGCTGTTTATCTATCTGGTGTTGCAGGATGAAGTTGATTTTGGGTCAAGCTGATAAAGTTGGGCTGCACCACCTTTAGCACACCCATACTAGAGAGGTGAGCACAGGGATCCTGGGGCAACATGGAGCCAGGACATGCTTAGCAATGCAGAGTGAGCAATATTCCTAGCCACGAATGGCTCAAAGGAAATAACTGAATTTCTAACTCCAGAAAATCACAACTGCTGTCTGAAACAGGACATGGCTCTGGATGGCTCTCTGATGTGGCCTCCTGTGGCTCCTGCCCTTGCTTAAAAGGAGCTCATTACAGTAAAAGCCAGCAGGAGTTATCTGAGGCTGCAGTCCTGGATGCACTGCTGGTCAAGAATGGGACTGGCAGGGAAGGCACAGAGATTTTGGAGGATTTAAGTTAATTTAAAGAATGCAGGGCTGGTGCTGTACTGGCTGGCTCTCCCCAGGCTAACTGGCAGCCCGGTGGCTACGCTTAGAGGTGGGTGCACGATGCCCACAGTCAGTCTCCTCACCGGCACCACCTGGTTCACACGCTGTGGCAGCAGGGGATTTGCCACGTGGGCCCAAGGGACCGAAGTCAACCCGGCCTGCGAGCACCCCGAGGGGCCCAGCTGCCCCAGGAATGCACCCGGAGCCGTGTCAGCGCCTGGCAGGTGGTTTGTGCTCAGCTCTGTGTGCTCAGGCAGGGGAGCACGTAGCAGCGCGGCTCCGGAGCGAAACACGTACCAGACACATTATTGAGACAGGAATTTCTTGTCATTGAAAGAGCTTGACTTACCTTTGTCATTTTAATGCATTGCACTCAGAGCCTGCTTTGGGAAAAAAAAAAAAAAAAAACACAACAATACATTCCCCCCCACCCTGGCTTTTCAAAGATAATTTAAGTCTCTTTCTGAAAGGCCTTTTTATGATTTCAGCAGCTCACAGGGCAAGGATGAAATACCAGCAGAAAAGGCAGTAACACATAACTTTCGCACTGCAGGGTGCTGCTGGTCAAACAAAACCCTGCAGGAACAAACATTTTTCACAGGGAGCAGAGCGTGTGCCATCCCAAGTTCTCATTGCAGTGCCCACATTCTGCGTCCTCTGCCAGCCCTGATCCTTCTTGCCTGTCTTTACAGCCCCTCTGCCTCTTCACTCACTTGAACAGGCAGGGTTGAGTCATCCTAGGCATGCTCTGGGGGAAACCGTTGCCTCCAGCCCATTTCTTGGAAACTAATAAAAAAAAAATATCTCAGAAATGTTGCAACACACTTGCTTCTTCTGCTTCTGGGTGGCTGTTGTGCTGTAACATCTCCACACTGCGCAGGCAGCTCCAGCATGCAACCAAGCAGCCGTTTGCTCTGGGACCGTGCTAACCGTAACTGTGCCGTACTTCGGAGTAGGTCCACTTCCTTCCCTATCTTCTTTGCATTCACAAGGCTGAGGACCCATATTTCCCGAGTAATGGCCTTTTATGATCTAACCTTTGGATAAATGTACCTTTAGTCTTGTGCTTCCTGATCATGTAAGACAGTTCTTTCTTCCCTGAACAGTTTTTTTCCATTGGCTGTTTGTTCCCAATATCCTCTTGAAAACCACTATTCAATCAGGTAGATCTCAAATCTTTCTGTATAAGATTTAAACCTTTATGATAGATGCAAGCTCCAGGTGTTTAGCATCTTTGGCTTAAAATAATTCCATTCCCCTGTCTTGTTCTCCTTCTGAAGCCAGTTAGGTCAGCTGGCTTCATTAACTTCGTCCCTCTGTATCTTAGAAGCTGCTCTTGCAAAATGAAGAAACCTCCCAGAAGTTTCAAATCTAATTTTGTCTTCCATTCTACTCATGAAACCACTCATGATCACTTGATCCAAGCTAATTTTCCATGGCTAGCTATTACATGTCCTCTACTTCAGACACAAAGTCTGAAATCACATCCCTTCTGGGCAGTTCAGAGCCGACTTTATGAAGAAGTTTACGGGCTACAACCCCCAGGGATACATGGGCTTTGCCATTATTAACAACCTTTGATCTCCACTTGACATCAACAAAGCTAAAGTTTCCCACAACAATACTATTATTCTCTCTAGTAACAGGGAGATCTCAAACCCTACCCAGATCTGAATCTGGAGGTTTCTAATAGGATTCAAAGAAACCTTTTTATTTCCCCATGTCAGCAGAGTGTTTGGAGGGTCATAGTACTGTTAATAAGGGACCTTGAGGTCTCAGGGGGTGGAGGAGGCTATAGAGGAATGCCAAGCACCTTTTCCCATGTATATGTTCTTGCACACACATGCATGGGTTTGTAATTTGAAACTCTCTTTACTTCTGGACAGGCTTTGCAAACTGCTTAGACCACATTCTCTGAGGTGTTTAAAGAGGGTGGAGTATGCAGTATTTATTTAGGTACTCTACAAACCTTAATAAGAATCGAGTGCTTGTAGCAATCGCAGAGAGCAAACAGAAAGCCAGCTGGCAGAAACTGAACAGTGCCACTGCATTTTTATTGCTTCTAAACCCCAAAAAACAGATTATTACTAAAAAAATGTCTTTTTTAATTTCATTTATCTCTGATCCTGCATTAATTTGTCTGCTATGTGCAGCAGTATTATTAGCTGTACTTTATTTTTCAACTGGCTATAAAAATTCAGCTTTTAAATTTCCTCCTGGTCCAACTCCTCTTCCGATCATTGGTAACCTGCACTTGGTGGATCTTAGAAGGCAAGATAAATCACTAATGAAGGTAGGACAACAACCCCCAAACCCAGACCCTCATAGATTTTAAATCTGCCTGGGATATATCAGCAAGAACTTTTTGTCTTTTTTAATTCAAACTAAATTGTAAAGGTGTGAAAATAGATTTCTAATATTTTTCTGGGCTTCTTCTAGCCAATGTCTGTGCTAATGCAATGTCATTTATGAGCGATCAACCATTAAAAAAAGACCTCTGGGTAATATGGGATTTCTTCATGTAATTGTGGTGATGTACATGAAGTATATAATGCTTGTGGGATTTGGAATGTTAATTTGACAGCTCGGACACCCAGAAATCTTTTAAAGCACTAGGACATAACTAACATGAAACTAAATTGCTTCCCTCCCCTCAGCCCTGGAGAACTGGCAAGGGGAATTCCACGATCCAGTGACCCCAAAACTGCTTTGGAGAGGGCCAAACCCAGATGCCCCATCGCAAAAACCACTTCCCTCTTGGATACGCATTAAAATCTAGACAGCAGCACAAGGGAGGGATGGAAAAATTGCGCTAAGGAGCCAGAATGAATAGCCTGCAAGCTCTTCTATTAACCTGTAATTAAGACAACTTACCCCACTTATGGTGGTAAACAGTTCTTCAGTGCAGGACGAGGCTGGCACAGCCCGGGGTGTTTGTTAGGCTGCTGAGTGCTCCCCCCTTGCTTTAGCAGACAGCACCCTCGGGGACCGACCTGCGCCGGGGTCAGGGAGAGAGTGAGCAAACAGACAGCGGCGGTTCATGACCAGGCGTCGACACGGCTCCCGTAACACCGGTGCTCGGCAAACACTGGCAGGTCTCTGGGAGCAGCCGAGTGGTGGGTTAGCACTGCCATGGGGTGAGGCTCCCAGCACCTGGAGTTGTTATGGGCAATGTCAGGGTTGGGGTCAGTTTACCCAGCGGGGCTGGGCAGACGTTGCTACAGTCTCTGAATGGTGGTTTGGTATTACCTCCACATGCTTTCATCACCTGCTAGGCTCTGTTTGGTATCGCCTATGTTTGCCTTTACTTTGGGGTTACTCCAGAGGGATTATCCCCCAGCTCAGCCCACAGAGAGCAAAAATTGGTGATTGCACTGAGCAGCAGGCACCAGTGTTTGCTGGCTGGGCACCCCGATGGGGTGTCCCTTCTCCCCTGCAAAAGCTGCCGGTGGACCCGGCACGGGTTGAGGCTGCAGGCATACACAGTGTGTTTGCTTAGGCAGCAGATTTGGACTATGGCTTCCTATCACCTTGCTCCAGCCCAACCCAAACTCTTCTCGGCTGTCCCCAAGTGCTGCTTCCAAGCTGTCAGGGAACAAGATGCAGCTGCAGCAATGGGGAGGAGGTAGGCAGGAGCAGTCAGCCTGCCCCCGTCCCCAGTGCCCCAGGGGGGATACACGGGCAGGAGCTGGGGGCGGGCATGACAATCTCACCCTTGTAAAAAGCAGACGTGTAGCAGCAGGCACACACACACGATGGTCCTTACGGAACGTGGATTCCCTCGTCAGCCTGCCTCACTCTGCCGCAGACCCCATCCTTGGCAAAGAGGAGTGGGGATCTGCACACAGCACGGCGGCTCCGAGTGGCACACTTAGGACATGCCAGCGGGACCACATGCTCCTGGAAGGATTTTTAGCCTCCTGAGGTACTGCGTTGCCTTTGAAAACCACCCAGCAAGGCACAGCTCTGGCGAGGAGCTGCAGAGAATTTGTCCTGGGGCATGTAGCAGTGAAAGACCTTCTCTGTGTTATTGCAAAGATACGTCCAGAGCCCTCTCAGTGCAAAACAAGCATCACTTTGTGTACAAGCATGCGGACGGCCAGCCTCCTGCTGTGGGTTTCCCTGCTGTGCCCAGCTGAGCTTTTGATACCAAAGCCAGGTCTGAGTAGAGGGGCATGGATTTCCAATTTGTGGTCATCCAGCACAATTAAACGCCTGGCATGGGACAAACAGCTCCCCTGGTCTAGTAGCAGGGATGCAGGAGTGCTTTGGTATGAGAGGAGCATTGTATCAAAGATTTCCTGTGTGACAGCATCATTATTTTCACTGAAATGTCTTCTCTTTTCGTCTTTCTCCGGTTTGCCAACTTGTCTTGACATTTGAGGTCCTGTCCTTAACTCTAGGTGGGTTTTTTGTTTTGCATTCACTTTCTCCTTAACAGCAAAACCCGATTACTAATGCACTGATGGGGGTGGGGGTTCTTTCATGACAAAAAGCCTAAAATCCATACGAATGCCA